GACCAACAAACTGTCACCAACCAACTGCCACTGTTGTCGCGGACTCAGCCACCTTTCCGTTCCCTCCGCCAAGGTCTAATTGCGTGTAAGGTCTACTTGCAGTAACAGTGGGGTGCACCAACTGATATAGCTTTACGAGCATGGGTCTAAGTGTGCGCCGCAACAGGGTCCCACTGAGGTCTGTTGCGTGATCCCTACGGGGCGCGTTGAGCATAGACCCTCAAGGGGGAATTCTCTCTGATTCATCGTTGTGCAGGATTCTTCACTGATCAGCTGACTGCTCGAGATCGCAGATTGTATGCCGCAGGGCCACCTGTATTCGTCACAGAATGTTCATGACACTTCATGCCGCTAAGTAATCACTGTATATATAGTTTGCCACGTCATGCGCCTGGGTATTCACTCATGCGGCTGAGTATTGACTTTGTTGCTTTGCTTCCACTTCCCACCCGCTTCAGAAGAAAGATTTTCATCATGCTTTAATTGATCGGATGCTGTTTCACAAAGTCCCAATGAAACACGAGTGCTCGAGACTGGTCAGTGTGCTGTGTGCGCGAGAATGAAGCACAAATCGTCAGATTGACAGTCACGTTTTACTTTGTCCAGCAAAGTTTTGAGATGCACCCACTTGTTGAGCCATATCATGAAGTTTCGCTTTCCTCCCCAAAAACCTCCCAAAACGCCTGCAAACGCCGGTTGACCTCCTGCATGAAACTCTCACCCACACTCACTCGCGCCCACCTTCACTCTCACTCACGCTCACTCACACTCACACTCGCACTCACTCACTCTCTCACTCTCACTCTCACTCTCACTCTCGCTCTCACACTCACACTCACACTCACTCACTCTCCCACTCTCCTCAAGCTCGCACTCCCACTCACTCACACTCACCCACACTCACTCACCCACCTTCAGTCTCGCTGACACTCGCTTTCACTCTCACCCACACTCTTTCTCACCCACACACACTCTCACTCACACTCACACTCGCACTCACTCACACTCACACACACACACACACTCGCTCACACTCTCACTCCCTCACACTCTCACTCTCACGCAGACTTACTCTCACCCACACCCACTCTCACTCACACTCACTCTCACCCACACTGTCTAGATCTCTAGACTTCCTGCTTGCAGACCTCACACACACTGTTGGGGCCTCTTGCCGGGATAATTTCAGAGTCAATCCTCGTTCTCCTATGCCAGTTGTGGGCAGGAGAGTAAATTAGACACTTACAGAAAGGGTCAAGTAAAAAGATCCTCATCCTCCAGAGGTTGTGTTTTTTTTTTCATTTGTGGGAGAGGTTTTTCCAGACTCTTGCGCAAAGGTCTCACAACATGGGCATGTGTCTCCAAACAACCAAAACTCAACACAGCTCAAATTTGGGTCTATCCCATTACCTGTAACAGTGGGTGATGATGGTTAGTAAAGGCCTTGTCCAAAAATAGTCACAATTGTCTACTGACTGTTACAGGTAATAGGACAGACCCAAGCTCAAGTGTTCTAGGAAGAACCCTGAGACACACCCCGACTCGACTCTGAACTCGACAGTAATCCTCGATCTAGGATCAAGGGCCATTTGTGGGAAGTTGGGCGCAAAAAACCTTAAAACTGAACCTCTCGCAAGACCGACACCCGCGTCTCTAAAGCAGACGGTCAAGAATGTCGATTTCTTCCGGGCTGCGGCGCAGAAGAAAGAGATTCTCGGAGCGCTGCAACTCTTGCGAGAGCTCCAGGGCCAGCTGACAGCAGCAGTCTGCGCGTTGCAGCTCTGCCGCCAGCTGAAGGGCAGCGATATCTCCTCCAGAATCCACAAATTCTCACACCGCAGCAGGTCTTGGCTGAGTTCAAGCGCCTTTTGCCGGTCCATCAATCCGAAGACGGACAAAAACGCCCAGCTGCTGTTTGGATAGAGAGGTTTTCTCTTGGCGCTTTGGGACTTCAGGAGTGACAAAACATTTGTCGGACTGTGGATCGATCCTGACTGACTCCAAAGGGTTTCTTCAGTTTCATCCCCCTTGATATCCCTAGAGCAGCTCGAAAACAGACAATATGACACGAAAGACAGCGGAACAGCGCCGCGTCCGACCCGTTAGAGAGCGTCAAGTAGTGTGCCTGCCACGCAAATCACGCCGGCAGTGCTGCGGCGACCCAGCGACACCAGCGCGTACATCCAACCCCTTGGAGAGCACCAAGTACCGTGCCTGCCATGCAAATCACACCGGCAGACCCAGCGACACCAGCACGTACATCCGACGCCTTGGAGAGCACCTTGTGGTTGGCTCCGCGATATCACCCAGCTTCATTGGTCAAGGTTGATGATCCCTGCTTGCTGTACAGACTACATCATCGGCCAGTTAGTTACTTCAAGCCAACTTCGGGGGATGTGGTCGTTCTCCATGGAGACAGTAGTTGGCACACACATGGAACGGCAAGGTGAACAGTCAGTTCACTTGTAGGTGTTTTAACAAAGCTGCAAAAGCGGCTCGACAGCGGCTGCTCGCGACGGCAGTGGTTTAGGGCTTAGGGGGTAGGAATATGAACCGCCGTGAAAGCAAACAGCAGCGCAGGAAAAATGAGTGTGTTGTCACGGCGCAGGTGCGTCACTGGATGTCTCCAGTCATATCCTCAGGACACTGCAGAGAGCTTTGTTAAGTGGAGCTCTGCAGGCCTGCTCCACTCCCCTGCTTGAATGAGTCTGACAACGAGTGGGACCCTTTAGTACAGAAAGGGACACGCACAGAGCGGCTTTGCGGCGCGCACTTGCAGAGGACTTTTCCGCTCTCAAACGCTTGCTTAAAAGGCAACAGCGCAGTAGACAGCTTGGTAATTACTTAGGTTCTACGACGGAGTGAGTACTTAGCCCTTTACTTGACAACTTAAGCCCTTGACTAAAAAGCCTGGTTATGTACCTAAAAGCCCTCTAGCGAAAAGGCAAACCTAGAAAGAGAAACAAAAAGGCAGGAGAAAAAGAACCGAAGCCGAGAGGCAGGGAGACGAGCCTCAAGAGCAACCTAACAAGCCTGAAGAAACAACTAACAAACAAAGCCGCAAGAGAGAAAGAGGGGGGGGGGGGGGGGTGAGTGAAAACTACATCGATCAACCACTCAAAAACCGTTAGGAAAGCCATGGGCCCGGCGGCATAATTTCAGTTGACTCATGAAAGACGATTGAGCTGTTAGGAATCTTCTCGAGCAAGCGCGGATATGCAGTTAGTGGTAGTCCGGTCTGGCTTCAGCGCCCCTTGCGGGGATCACACCACGCAACCAAGTGGGAAAGCGTAGCAGAACACACTTCGAAAGCTGCAAAAGCGGCTCGACAGCGGCTGCTCGCGACGGCAGTGGAAAGGTTTGCAGCTTAGGGGGTAGGAACATGAACCGCCATGGAAGCAAACAACAGCGCAGGAAAAATGAGTGTGTTGTCACGGCGCAGGTACATCACTGGACGTCTGCAGTGATATCCTCAAGACACTGCAAAGAGCTTTATTAAGTGGAGCTCTGCAGGCTTGCTCCACTCCCCTGCTTGAATGAGTCTGACAACAAGTCCAAAAGAGTGAAAACGCGTTTGCGCTGGCGATCTGCGCGAGCCCCATCTCGCACGATCTGCGATCCCGCGGTCTCGCGCCTGGCTGGGCCAATCGTCGGATCTCCAGTGGCTTGACGCCGGTTTGAGCCCCGATGAGTTCGCACGAGCGGCCGGATGAGGACGGTGAAGCGAAGCGTCAAGCGTCTCGCAGGCGTGTGGCGAGAGACGCGAGACAGCTGGGACGCGAGACGGCTGGGTCAAGGGTGGTTGGGGGGGCTGCGAGGAAGAACCACCATGCCATAGTTTGGGTGTGTATTTGACTGGGAAGACCTACAAGCAGCAGACTGGTCGAGGTTTCCTTCCAGCAATTCGAATTCAGTTTCCCTTTCGTGAGGGTGTGGAGATGCGGTTCGAACTCTCCAGCTTCGCCAAGAAAAGGGAGACCCAAGGAGGTGAGTTGATTTGAGAGAATCATCAGGAACCCCATGCCTGAATTACCACCTGATCCTGATCTGTTTAAGGCAAGTCGCCTTTCGTATCAACTCTTTGGACACCATGCTAACATGCCAGGTGTAAGGCTACTAGGTTACTATATACTACTGACATGCTCACAGCTCACTTCACCCATTCGTTGACCTGCGTGGATGCTTCTGTCCTTGTTGCCCCCCCAGCCCCCCTTCAGAGGACTGTGGTTGTTTGGTGCAGATTCACCGATGTGCCTGTTCCACATCAACCCTGGCCCTGCCCAGAGACGACCTTTCTCGGGTCCAGCTGCATGTTGGAGGTCCAGTTCACCCAAGGTGTGAGGTTCAAAACACCTAGCAACCTGAGGGTCCAATGAGCTCTTGGGGTGCCCCAAACGGACACACACGCGAAGCTAGAACAGCTGAGGCTCCTCAGGCCCAGGAGGGGTTGTTCGAAGAGGTCCCGATGGACCGGTGCGAAAAGGACTTGGTGAGAGCGAGCAAGTTCTACTCGTCGCGTCGCTGTGCCGTGATTGTGGGTCCCAGCCAAGCCAAGCCATCAAGCCAGAGTGACCTTGGCAGGTTTGGTCATCGGACTGACACTTGGATTTGCTGTCCAGGTGCCGGGAAGAAACAATGATTCAGCAAAAGAGGATTCATCCATGGGGAATATTAATAATCACCTTCAAAACCAGGGACATCTGTCCAAAGAGAACAGATCCGCAAATCCCACGGTCAGTTTGTTGCTTCTGGCATCCACTGACCCCACCCCGGTCACAGGTGCTTTTGTTCAAGCTGCGTCCTGCCTCCCCTGAACAAAGCAGTGCAAATCCCTGTCATCCACCCAGCGCCTCCAAAGGGTGTCCAATGGTGACCTATAAGCAGTGTAGAGTTGGTAACCCCTTGGAAGCAACTGGCATGTTCTTCCCAAATCAGTTATAAGCCTGGCTTCCAAGGCTTCACTTGCTTCCTGCTAAACATTCCATGCGTCACGAGACCAAGCCCCGCCTCGCACCCCGCCACACCCCCGCCCACGCAGCCACGCTTTTTGGAGCAACGCACCACCGTGCAAACCTCTGAAGACCTCCGGTCTCATCGGAAGGCCGGTGGCCGCGGGATGCCCACCAACGGAGGCCTTAGACCCGGCTGCGGTGCGCTGTGCGCTCGGTCGATCCGTCGGTCGTGGTGCAGCAGCTTGGGTGTTGGCTTTTGGGAAGACCATGAGACGAACCGTGGATCGCCCATTGTTCACCGCCCGACATGAAGGTCCCAGATTCAGGTTCACCGAACTTTCTATCTGTTGATGTTTTTTTAAAGTATATATATATGTCTATACATTGACCCCCCAAATCACTCCAGCTGAACGGCATCTTCTTGGATTTGCTGTCCAGGAGCAACACATACACATTCTTTCCACGCCAGGGGATTCACCCAGGATCACAATCACCTGATCCGCAAAACCAGGTCTTCCATACATGCCAGTTCACCAGAACATCCCCCCCAAGATGCACTGGATGCACGCAGGAGTAGCTAGTAGATGCTAGTAGATTTGTTTTTGGGGTCCTAGTTCAATTCACTATAGTGTAGCAGCCGGTAATAGAATTGGACCTCCCTGAATGGAAAAATAACCTGGCTGTCTTGCTTGGAGGGTCCGGGTGTCCTAGGTGCTGCTGCTGCAGGAATTCTAGCAGGCGCACCAAACTTGTTTGGGACTCGGGCGACGGTGAATTGGCACAAGAAGGATCACCCTCTTGCTGAGTTGGGTCTATCCGAGTCTATCTGGGCCCAGTGGATGATGATGGGCCGAGGTTGTCGTAGGCCTTGTTCACAAATGATGATTTGCTTGTTTACTGACTGTTACAGGTAAGTTCGGACAGACCCTAGTTTCACGTTGGGTCTATGGACATCTTCTAACTCTGAGCTGATCATGCGCAAGCAACTTTGGGTCGTCCATCTGCCCAAACATCAGAGGGCTATGATGACACCCTAACAGCTACAATCAGAACTTCTCTCGATCGGTTGCATGTTTAACCAGTGAATGTCCTGAGACCAAACATAAACACTCAGAAACGATCAGTTCCTGGAAAATCTACCTGGTAGACATTCCTGGAGAGGTCGAGGCAGCCCTTTACTATAAGGTCCCGGGTCAGATTAGTTCAGGTCTCTCAACCACAAACAAACACATACCTTAAGTCTCGCCGCTTGGTTTTGCTTAAGGAGTTACATAGGGAGTTACATGGATTACCCTACCAGTATACAGGGAAAATCACAAATCACCTGGAGCAAAACCAGGTCAACTACAAACAAACACATACCAGGACCTTCCAAAGGGCTGCCCTGGCTGGAAGCCCCTACACTACACCACTAAGGGACCTCCAGACAGGACACCCCCTTGAAGGTCCAGGTACTTTCAGTCCAGTCGTCGCCGAGTCGCGGGGTTGGAATCACGGCCACTGAGAGGTCGTACATGTCGGCGACATGTTCCTCAGCGAGGAACGAACGACTCGGCGCCAGAGCGAAGCGCAGCTCACAACAAAGCAGCCCTCAAACGCTGCTTAGTGAGGCCGACCGTTTTTGCGCATGCGAAACTTGGCAAAACATATCAAAACAACAAGGCAAGAACCTGGTCAAGAACTCTTCTTGACGCGGTGATCTGTCTCTATTCCATTGGAGCAACCAGGCTCAAGTGGAGCCTTTGGTAAGGAACCCATTGTCTTGGGCACCGGAGGAAGCTTAAGAGGGTGTTGCTGTTTGCAGATTGATCAGCTCGAGCAGGGCGTCTTCAGAAAACTTCATTGTGCCCTGCAAACTGCGGGATTATGTGATCCACTCACAGCATCGTAACTGCCACTCCTGGCATTCTTTTGGACGCCATGGGGGGCCTCGCCGCCGGCTTCGTCGGCATTGGTAGCCCCTCTGAATATCACGGCACAGCCTGCATAGGTGGGCCAGCCTGGGAATGCTCTCCCCCAGCCCAATTCTCTCATCCAAAGTTACAAAACCAGGATTGTCCACTGATCGGAAGCAGCGGTTTCGCATGGCGCCACTGCCAGGAAAGCGGGAGGGTTCAGACATCAGGGAGACTGCTCTTGGTTCATGTGATTGTCATCGGTTTTCGCCAGCTCTCCTCTGCATGGCAGCCACTGTCTCGTCTTCTGCCCAGCAATGTGGGCGTAGCCAGGCTCACGCTCGAGTGGAACGGAACCCTAGCTGCCCTTCGCCCCGGGCCGTTTGGAGGCGGTGCATGTCCAGTCTGTTCTCCTCAGACAAATACTCCTGTGGAGATGCAAAATCAGCTGGGTTTCTGTCCCGCCATCCACGACCGAAAAGCCCCACAAATTCCGAGGAAAAGTCACCCGCTTTTCGTGCCCCGTAGATAGTTGATCCACATCTCACTACTTGACCAAGATTTACTTTGACTAGAAAACATGTTCAGAAGACATTGTTTTAATATGTTTTAATTTGTTATCCTGTGATGTTCTTGTACTTTGTAGCATATTACTAGATTTGTTAGCAAAGGATTGATTGGTCAGCAAACAAACTACAATACACACAACCAACAAATACAGTTGGATTAGCTGATTCAGAAACAATTGCTTGGCGCAATAAAAGCCCCAGCATGTCCACGAGCCCACAAGATAATCATCTAGTAGAGTCCAAAAAGAGACCGTCGGAGGTATGGGCGATCACCTTCAAAGGGTATGGTCAGTCATACTTCTTGGAATCTCTCCTGTCTGATACGGTGGTGCCCAGGTTCTGGGCACCGTCCGAAGAAAGCAATGGCCGAACCATCCACATCTTCTTCGGGATCCCAAAGAGTGGCACCAACAAACTGAAGTTGGCACCGAAGTGATGGCCCATCACTTGAAGCTACAAAAATCATTCGAAAGAACACATCGGGCACCCATCTTTCCCAACTGCTCCGTTCACTGTGAGTCTATACTGAGTTTCTGGGACTTCTCTATCCATCCATTTCAATTTCACTGGTCGTTTCAACTCGAAGACCTCTCGGCTTCGACTGAAGACCACCGAGAGCTGGGCCGAGTTCTTGGCAGAGGCTTCTTGCCACCCCAGGGCCTCGGTTCTCGAGGAGGTCGGAGGAGGAAGTCCAGGACTGCGTGGATGATCTGTGGATGATCTGTAGATGATCATGTCGACTGTTGATGAATCATGAATCAACATATGAATAAATATGATCAAAATTTACTTGGTACACATGAGTTAGGACTTTGGTGGTTGGACCATGTTTTGCTAAGACTCATGGTTTTGGGGATGTTTTTGGTGAACCTCCGCTATATAACTCCTACTCCTAGGTCATGAGTACACAGGGGCTCATTCCTTCGCGTTTGGGCCTGAGGTGTGAAGGCATGTTGCTCGTTCGTGTGGATGTTTTTTTTGGGGGATCAAGTCTATTGTAGACTGTTAGATGAATAAACCGCCCGTATGAAGAGGATGTCCAAATTAAAATTGGTGGTGCTGTTATTAGTCAAAAGTCTACTTTCGACTCGGTCTGTTTTGACGGATCGAGTGACTCTGAACAATTCTGCCGAGCCCTCTTCACTCGACTCACTCACCAACTTCAGAGTCCCAGTGCCTCAGCACCAGATGTTTTCAACCTCGAACAGGTCAAGAAAGAGGACATGATCGGCAATAGGCCACTACTGCCGTCACTACTGCCGTTCAACATGGTTCAACGGTTCAGAGGGACCGTATGGCGCGTAAAAGCGCGGCCCTTTTGGAAGGACGGTTGTTGGACTGATGGGTGACTGGTGGGAACTAGAAGTTCAGAAGAATGGTCAAGACATGTCAATGGCTGTGGGTCTTGGGTGCCCCGATCTCACCCTGGTAGGACCTCTCTGGTAGTCCGTTCATTCTTGGTGGTCAACTCCGGGTGGCCCTGTTTTGACTCACAGCCACATGTCGTTCACATGATGTTTGCACCCACACTTCGCTGAGAGAGGTGAGCACCAAATGGACCCCCGAAGATGGACCCCCGCGCGAGTGTGCCACCCGTCTCTGATCCACCTCACTCGATGGATTGCGCACTTGAAGCGGAATGGTTCCCAACAGAGGTGGGTCACCCTAGTTCGACTGTCCCAGGCCAGGGTACCCCAGGTTATGGGTCCTAGTTCAGGTCACTTAACCTACCTTTTTGTTGGTCTTTTTCCAAAAAGCACCGGGGAGGAGACACCAACTCTCACGACCGACAAACCCAACTCTCGGCTGCATGGGCGGCATCGTCTTCGTCAATGTCGACCGGGCCCGGACCTATCTGGTTCTACCTGGTGGACTGGTACATGGTGGGCTAAGCTCCAGGTTGAACCCATCCCCCAATACAACTTGAGGCCAAGGCGGGGGGGCAAAAGCTAGCGCTCCAGAATGGGAAAGTGGAGGGCAGCGAGGTAGGAAAAAACACGGCGCTCTTTTTTGCCCGGATCCTCCTGAGAGAGAAGAGAGAGAAGAGAGACGGAAAGACGAGAGACAGAGAGGAGAGAGAGAGAGAGAGGAGAGAGAGATGAGAGAGAGATGAGAAAGAGATGAGGGAGAGATGAGAGAGAGATGAGAGAGAGATGAGAAAGAGATGAGGGAGAGATGAGAGAGATGAGAGAGAGATGAGAGAGAGATGAGAGAGATATGAGAGAGATGAGAGAGAGAGAGA